CCCGGGATCTGAACCCGGGCCGCCAGCAGCGGAGCACGCGCACATAACCGCTATGCCACCGGGCCAGCCCGTTTGCTGCTTTTTATGAAGCACTTTCCATGTGTCCAAGCACTATGCTGGCTGCTCTGCATACATCATCTTATTTAACCTTTACAACAACCTTGAGAAGACGGTGGTATTATCTTCCTTTTCCAGTTGAGGAAATTGAAACTCACAGTTAGTAAATGACAGAGCAGGTCTTTTAGACTCCTAAGCCGGGCCTCTTTACTCCTGAAAGCTGCCTTCCAAAGGTGATTCAAAACCGCTGCCTCAGAAGCCAGAAGCTTACTAGCCTGAGATCCTCCAACACACGAAAGACACTCGTGTGAACTTTCTTCTCTCTCCTGGGGTCTGGTCAGGTTGGGTGTTTCATTAAGCCCTGGCCTTCAAAGAGCCCTGCACTGGTCACCAAGGCCCAGCTTCCCCTGGGGCAGCCCGTTGAATAGTAACAGTCCTCAAGAGCCTGATTTAACCAAGGTGGAGCATCTCCCTTTGCCCTCTCTATAATAGTGTCCACTTTCCACAATGACATCGGGTCTGCCTCTAGCTGATCCTGGGAGTTGTTGACAAGCCTGGTAGTTGATCACGTGACCAGAAAAAATGTCGAGGGGCTGATGGAGGGAGGGATGTTGGAAGAGAGATTTTTCTTTCCTGTCTTAACAGCTTACCTTGCCACTGAGGCTCAGCAACCCTGCCCTCAGGCATTGTTATGTAGGCCTAGGGCCATATTCAGAGGGGTTCATTCTCTTATGTTCTGATCTTACGCCTTTGAAGTCCAAAGCAGGTGGGGGGTTTCCCCTTAAGGGAAGGCGTCAAGGCCTTCTGCTGTTTCCACATAGTGCGACGCAGAGCTCTACACCCAGAACATGCCATGGACAACCATAGTGACAGTGAAGAGGAGCTTGCTGCCTTCTGTCCTCAGGTATCTTGGGTGTGGGAGCTGCCAGTTTTCTTTAGCTCCCTTTTAACCATCTGGCGCCTCATATTTAGGCAGTAGCCAGGTTTCCAAGCTCATTATGCGCTCTCTAAGGCCACACCCCCTTGCCCCCAAGAGCAGTGAGGAGAGAAGCTAGTGTCATATTGGGACTTTGTCTGTAGATCTCAATTTGAGCCTGGTGATCAGCACACTGTCTTCCATGTCTCCTTTTAACGCCTACCGTCATGGTAGAACTTCTGGAACTGGTGTGATCATCTTTTAAACAGCCCAGCCCACCTTAGGTTGGGCGATGTGTGTATCCTCCTGGCCACCTGTGAAAGTATTCTCTGGATCAATTATTTGTTTAAGTGTAAGTGGCTGGTTGACTCCCAAGACTGCTTTCCTTCCTGTGCTCAAGATTGATGAATAAGGGTGTTTTCCTTGGGGGAGCAGTCTAAAAGGGGTCAAGATTTTGACTTAAAGTCTTCATCCATGCCGAGTTACCCTACTGGCCTTAGGGTAGCCTTTAGGGCCAGCTAATTAGTAAAACTATAACTGGGAAACAGCACCTGTTCCTAATGGCATCATCTCTTCAGGCTTGTCGGTCTTTTCTTTTCCTAAGCTGGATGATTCTGCTGTTGCCAGGGAATTGGCCATCACAGACTCTGAGCACTCGGATGCTGAAGTCTCCTGTACAGACAATGGCACATTCAATCTTTCACGGGGCCAAACACCTCTAACAGAAGGCTCTGAAGGTGAGGGGAGCCTTGAACTTGAGTTGATAATGGCTCTATTGTCTCTCAGCTTCCCTGGGCAGAGGGGATTCTGCCCCCTCCTCTCCTGTCTTTTGAGCTATGGATCAGGTGGCAGAGCTGCCTTAGGGGTATGGCTACAGCCAGGATGGCACTGCTGCCCTCCTTGAAATCCTCAGTGCCTTAGTAGCCTCAGGTTCTAGGCTCATTGGGGGCATAGTAGAGGAAGAGGGGGGAGTTCTCTGGCCAGTAGAGGTCACAGCAATCTAGAAGTGGAGGGGAAAGCTGACAGTGCCACAGGTTTTGCTTCACCCTGAGAAATCCAGGGTGAAAAAATCTGTTACATGAGACTGACTTTATGGGGCTGGGGCACAGGAGGGCCAGGCAGTTTCCATGTCTCAGACACCCCTCTATTTTCCCAGACCTAGATGGTCACAGTGATCCAGAGGAATCCTTTGCCAGAGACCTTCCAGACTTCCCTTCCATTAATGTGGATCCTGCTGGCCTGGATGATGAGGATGATACCAGCATCGGGATGCCCAGCTTGATGTACCGTTCCCCACCAGGGGCCGAGGAGCCCCAGGCACCCCCTGCCAGCCGGGACGAGGCTGCACTGCCAGAGCTCCTGCTTGGTGCCCTGCCTGCAGGATCCAATCTCACCAGCAACCTTGCCAGCCTGGTCTCCCAGGGCATGATCCAGCTGGCTCTGTCAGGGGCCTCCCAGCCAGGTGCTTCTGGCCCACCTCCACGGAGAGCAACAAGAGGCGTCCTCCAGGCCCCCAGTTCCGACCTGGACACTGATGCTGAGGGGGATGACTTTGAACTCCTGGACCAGTCAGAGCTCAATCAGCTGGACCCTGCCAGTTCCAGGAGCCACTGAGGCAGAGACTCCTTTTGGGGGCCACTGTGGTTTAGGTTTTTTTTCTCCCCATCCCACTTAAGGTGAAGGGGCAAGGGAAGAACCCAGGTCCCATCCCCTGAATTATATTTGTAAGCTGAGTGGCCTGTTGAGAGAGGATACTCACTCCCCTGCTACCAGCTGGACACCCATTTCTGAGCTCAGTCACTGAAATGAGAGTGTGCTCCCCCAAGGGAGGCTTTTCTCCATCAGGATGGTACTTTTGGGGAACAAAGTAGTCAGGGGTATTGGTTCCCCTTTGAGGGGGTGACGCTGTTTGCTTCTAGGTATGGGTGCTCGAGGGCCCTCAGTGATAGAAGAGCCCCTCCTGTTCTGCCTCCCTTCCTCACCTCCCTAGAGCTCCAAGTCAGGCAGCAGCTGAAAGAGTTAACATTGTCATCCTCCTCTTTTCCTAAGCCATGATTTGATTTGTCTTTTTCTAAGCAAGCTTGCACTTTGGTTCTGCAGAGCAGGCCTGCTCCCTCTGCCCCAGCCCATTCTCATTTCTTGAGGGCTAACCCCCTGTGCTCCAAAATATCGCTTGTGAAATTTAAGAAACTTGAACACAATGTGGGGGTAGGCCTCTTCTACATTACCTTGGGCCATGGGTCAGCTGGCTGGGAGGGTGAGTGCTTCTATATCTCATGGTCTCACTGAATCTTCTGGAGCTGCCTGGTTATCTTTGGTGCTGCTAACCCCTGGCTCCATTTGACCATCAGCCTGAGCAACAAGCAAAGCAATACCATACCATACCCATTTCCATGTTCCTGTTCCTTCCCCTGCTCCTCCTTTGGAGAAGCAATAATTCCCTGGGGGATGTCAAAGTAGCACTTTACAACTGGCTCAGCGGCATTCATCCAAGGAGCCACCACCTCTTCTTGCACCAGCTATTCTTACTCCCTCTTCAGCTCCTTTAATACTTTTATTTTCAGCTGCTTCCCAACTTGGCAGGGCCTCTTTTAAGGATGAGCCCAGTTAGCAAGAAAGTGTCTATAATCTGCAGACACCCCTCTAAGGGGTATCTCTTCTACTGCCCCTAGTAAAATCATGTGAGACAAAAACTAAAAAGGTAATTAGTTCTAAACCTATGCCAGTCTACAGCCTCTCTCTGCCTCCTCAATCAGAGCTCAAGCCAAACTCTTCTATCCTCTTTCCCTCTGCATTAACCCTTTGCTGATCCTCAGGGACCACTTCCCCAACACCCCCATGCCTGGGTGAGGGATGTTGGACAGAGCCCGTTTTCATGTGCTGCGGGTGGGAGTGTGCTAACATGTTTGCTCTTGGTTGATGGACAAGGTAGAGGCCAGGGAATGAAAACAGTTAACAGTGAGAAGGGAGAGGAGCTAGGTGCCTGTTTCATAGTCACTTACCTTTGTGTGAAGGTTAGGGGTAATGGCGTCTCCCCACTTTAGAATTCTCAAACAGACTTTGGACACCTTCTGTCTTAGAGCCCAGATGTCTTACAGGTGAGCTCTGATGCGGAAAAAAAATGGGAGGTGTGGGAAGGGAGTGGGATTTTGTGTGTTTGCATGAGTGTGTGTAGCTTCAGGCCTTGGAGTTGGCAAGAGGGAGGGAGGGAAGGAGAGCAAAATCTTTGGAAGGTGTTTCTTGTACCTGGGGGATCCTGCTCTGAATCTCCTTAGTCCTCCACTGTGAATTGGGGTGGGGATGGGAGTGGGAGGGGTACTGGGGAATAAATCTTGTATGAGAACAATCTTTAAGAGACTGATGTTGAATGGTGTCCTACCCTTGATAGGTCTCTTGTTAATCTGAGATGTGATTAATTTGAAGCCTCAGAAGAGGAAGCCCAGGCCTGAGGGACCACCTGCCCATCCTCTACTTTTCCTTTGTGGTGGCCAGCACAATCACCAGAGTATGAGGCCACTTCCCCTCCCCAGGAGAGCCCAGACATAAGCATAACTGGCACTTTTGGCTGGCATCTAGCTTGCAGTTCCATCATTTCTAATTCTTAATAGTGTCCCCTAAACGTGTGATGACAAGTACACGTTTCAAAGGCTAATGAGATTTTAGGTAAACAGAAGGCTTTAAAAAGTAGCACCATCCTCCTCTGGACGGTTTGAGCTGTAGGGACAGCTGCTCTTTGGCCTTCAGCTGACCTCAGAAACTAGAAATACTTATTTCAGGCTTTGTCCCATTGGCCACTGTGGGTAGGAGTGGAAAGCACCTGCCAGGTGTTGCCATAAGATTGACTCGGCCAACAGGAAACTTTTTTACAAGCTTTGTGGCTTAAGAGTAGCCCCATCCCAACCCTACCGTTCCTGGGTGTTCAAACCACAGCAGGTGCGGAGCGCCCCCTGTGTGCGAAGCTCGGTAGCGGGCAAAGAGGGGTGGTGGTATGCTCTTCCCAGGGCTCCTGCGCTTGCTTCAGTCTTCACAACCACCCTCCTGCGAGTATTTCTTGTTCCTGTTTTACAAATGATGAGACTAACCGACGAAAAGAGCATTGGACCGTGGGATAGGACACGTCCCCGTCGGTAACTAGCTCTGTGACCTTGAGCTAGTCGCTTGCCCAGCGGGGGTTGATCCTGCGGTTTCTTCCCGTTCCAACACAGCCCAGCTCAAGGTCACGAGTACTCAACTGCCGCTGGAACTGGGTCTCGAAACTTCAAGGCGTGATTTACGACAACCTTCGTTGCGAGGGGGAGGAACGGAGAGGTTCGAAGCGAGCGCCCCGCCTCCTCCGCAGAGATCCGGGCGCCAGAGGGTCGGACACACCGCCCGAGCTCCAAGCCGAAATGCACTACGGTGTCCGAGAAGTGTCGATTCGTCCCTCGCGAAGACTTCCCCTTCCGCCAATCACTGCCTGAGGCCCGCCCTTCCCGGCGCCGGAAGGAGCCGTTGCCGCGAGCAACAGCAACGTCCGGCTTTCGGAGTTTGGCGGCGGGAAAGGCCATGAGCAAAGGCCGGGCAGAAGCTGCGGCGGGAGGTGACCGGGCCGTGGGTGCGGGGGAGCCCCGGGAAGGGAGCGGGCGAGGGGTCGGCGGAGTGACCCCTCCCTTGCCTCATCTCTCTCGGTAGCCCCCGGCATTCTCCTGAGGTACCTGCAGGAGCAGAACCGGCCCTACAGCGCCCAGGACGTGTTCGGGAACCTGCAGCGGGAACACGGACTGGGCAAGGCGGTGAGGACCCTCTCCTGGGATTCCTCCTTTGGGACCCCCTCGAATCAGCCTGGGGTCCTGCTCTCTCGAGGCTGCCATTCTAGCCTGGGGCTTCCTGAGGCATGTCAGGCGCGCCCCGCATCGCTGAAATTCCCCCTGCCCGGCCCGAAGTGACGCCTCCGATTGCCCTGCCCCCTCCCTTCTGCCAGGCGGTGGTGAAGGCGCTGGAGCAGCTGGCTCAGCAGGGCAAGATCAAAGAGAAGATGTACGGCAAGCAGAAGATCTATTTTGCGGACCAGGTGAGGGAAACCTGCGCAGATTATCACCCGTGCGAGAGCCCGACGTTAGGTGAATCAGCCCCTAGTGACAACTCTTTGGGAGAATTGAGGCACCCCATGAAAGTCACATGTCTTATGCTATTAGAAGGGCCTCAGACATCCTTTAAACCAAACTGCGTATTCCCTTGCTATGATGTGAACTGCATGAGATTTCCAGATTTGAAACAAGTTAATGACAGAAACTCGGAAGCTCTATTCCCAATCATCTAGATTAAAACCACCATCTGCCAAACAATTTTCTTGTCTCTACCCCCTTCCCTAAATACACGCAATGTCCACTTAGTGTCTGCAGCCCATATCTCCACTTGGATGCCTTTCAGACTCTTCAGAATCAATATTGCCAAAGTAGAATGCCTCATCTCTCTCCCTAAACCGGCTCCTCGCAAATTCTTCTCCCTTAAGGAATCACTCTTCACCCAAGCCAGAGACTTGGCAGTCGTTCTGGACTTCCCTTACCTCACATGTCTAGTCAGCCATCAAGTCCAGCTGATTTTCCCCTGAATCCATCCTCTCCTTTCCATCTGCCATCACTGCTGGAGTTCAGGCACTCCTCATCAACATCCTCCTAACAGGTCTCCTGGCTTCCTCAAACATACCTTAAATTACAGCCAGAATGATCTATGTAAATATAAATCTAGTCATGCCATTTCCCTACTTCAAATGCTGGTGCTCCCTGGAACAGGTAAAGGCACTGGGAGATGTTCCCAGCCTGCCTCTAGCCTCACCTGTTCCTGTTATTTCTCCATCCATCAATACTCAACCATTCAGATGTGTTTTATCCCTGTGTCCTGAAACCTTTAGGATTTCACTCAGGCGTCACTCTCTCTAGACACCTTCCCTGAATGCTCTAATTGCCTCTTCTTCAGGCGCTTACCTTTGTGTGTGTGTGTGAGGAAGATCAGCCCTGAGCTAACATCTGATGCCAATCCTCTTTTTGCTGAGGAAGACTGGCCCTGGGCTAACATTCATGACCATCTTCCTCCACTTTATATGGGACGCCGCCACAGCATGGCTTGACAAGCAGCGCATCAGTGCGCGCCCGGGATTGGAACCTGCAAACCCCGGGCGCATGCACTTAACCGTTACACCACTGAGCCAGCCCCCAGGCACTTACTTCTTTTGAGGCATGCTGTATTATAATTGCTTTTTTACTTGTCTCCCTCACTAAACTGAAGCTCTTCTAGGGCAGACCGTTTACCATTCATGTTCCTTTACTCAGCACCCTCACAGTATCTCACATCCAGTAGCATTGTATATACTTGTTTAACTGAACCAAACCACTGTCAAGGCTAATTTTCCTACAATAGGTTTCATTATGTTACTGCTCTATTGAAGATCCCCTAAAGGAGAAGTTGGCAGATTTTTTTCTGTAAAGGGCCAGACAGTTAATATTTTTATGATTTGAGGGCAGATGGTCTCTTGTCACGGCTACACAGCTGTCATGACCACTCAAGTCTGCCATGGTGGAGCAGAGCAGCCATAGACAATATGGAAACGAATGCGTGTGGCCGGGTTTTACTAAATTTTTGTTTTCGAAAACATGCATCCGGCAGGGTTTGGCTTGCAGGCTGTAGTTTGCTGCCTCCTGCTCTAAAGGTCTACTTGGCCTTAATGTCAAGTCCAAACTGTCCAGCCCAACATTCACATCCTTTTTTTTTTTAAATTTTATTTATTTACTTATTTTTTCCCCCAAAGCCCCAGTAGGTAGTTGTATGTCATAGCTGCATATCCTTCTAGTTGCTGTATGTGGGACGCGGCCTCAGCACGGCTGGAGAAGTGGTGCGTCGGTGTGCGCCCGGGATCCGAGCCCGGGCCGCCAGCAGTGGAGTGCACGCACTTAACCGCTAGGTCACGGGGCCGGCCCTCACATCCTTTCTAATTTGCTTCCCATCACCCACTGACAAGTCCCCCACTGAACCCCAACACTGTCCTTTTCTAGCAACCGGTCTCTCCTGGGAGGGGGTCCTCAGACTTGTAGTGGAGTCCCTAAGCAAAATACCTCCCACCATACCTCTGCACCTGTCCAGATTCTTCGTATTGTGGAAACCCGTAATTTAGGTATCACCACCTTGGAAAAGAATGTGCCATTATTCCTTCAGCCCAGTGAATGGTTTTATCACTAAACTGAAAGATATTTCTGTCCCATTCAGTATATCCTGCCAACCTAGAAGCCCCATGAGGACAGGCATCAGGTTTCCACTTTTCTTTTATACCTTTTTGTTGAGACCAGTAGTAAACTGAATTATTTCCCAAAAGCGCCCTCTGCTATTTTCCCAGGCCCTCAGTCCCAGGTTCTTCTTCTTTTTTTTTTTGGTGAGGAAGATCAGCCCTGAGCTAACATCTGATGCCAATCCTCCTTTATTTTTTTTGCCTAGGAAGACTGGCCCTGGGCTAACATCCGTGCCCATCTTCCTCTACTTTAGATGGGACGCCACCACTGCATGGCTTGACAAGTGGTGTGGTGGTGCGCACCCAGGATCCGAACCCCGGGCTGCCACAGCGGAGCGTGCGCACTTAACCGCTACGCCACCAGGCCGGCCCCCCCCAGGCTCTTCAGTGTATATGAACGTTGCCTTGCTAGAGGTGGGTTCCCATCCTGGGCCTCACATCAGCCCACATCTGTTTTTCCCTTCGTCTCTGGCAGGACCAGTTTGACATGGTGAGTGATGCAGACCTCCAAGCCCTGGACGCCAAAATCGTGGCCCTCACTGCTAAGGTGCAGAGCTTGCAGCAGAGCTGCCGCCACATGGAGGCTGGTAGGACTGGGCAACCCCCCGGAAGGTGCCCCTAGCATCAGGGTCAGTCTGCAGGTCAGGAATTACGAAGTGAATGATTTGTTGACTGCAGCGTTATCTTGTTGCAGTGAAGATCCCTTTGCTGGGCTGCCATAGGCATTACATTAAAAGAAATATATAACGGCTTTTGAATACAAGTGGGCAAGACGTGCATTTACTTCCCTACCACAGTTTTCAGTATCCTGTTTCCACACTTCTATTCCTGCTTCTTTAACTTGCTATAACTAACAGTCTGCTCAACCTCACGTCCTACCCACTACTTGTAGATGGAAGAGGAAAGAAAACTAGAATAAATGATAATTCCATAAGCTTTAAATCTCTCCTGAGCATTTCCAGAATATGAGACTCATTCTGGAACCTGTGTATAGAAACCAGAGCAAGGTAGAGCCCCCCTGGTCTCCTACCTTGGGGCACCCACTGGGAAAGATAGAACCTTCCTCAGGGTGTGGCAAGTGACCTCAGGGAGATGTGGTTTCAGAGCTGAAGGAGTTAACTAGTGCCATGACCACACCGGAGATGCAGAAAGAGATCCAGGAGTTAAAGAAGGAATGTGCTGGCTACATAGAGAGACTGAAGAACATCAAAGCAGCCACTAACCATGTGACTCCAGAAGAGAAAGAGCAGGTGAGCTGGGAGGGGTAGCAATGTCCAGAGTGAGGATGAAGGTTGACCCCAGTGGCTGCTGTGGGACTGAGGGGTTAGAGGAACCTCTTTCCCCTTTCTAGGTGTACAGAGAGAGGCAGAAGTACTGCAAGGAGTGGAGGAAGCGGAAGAGGATGGTAAGGGTATGGGAGCTCCAATGCAGGCCCTGGAAAATGGCAGCCAGCAGAGAAACTGCTGCCCAATATCATGGACCCATCAGGCAGTGCTGAGTACTGCCCATCTGAAAAGGGGTGGTTTTGTTTCTTGTCAGGCAACAGAGCTGTCTGATGCAATCCTCGAAGGATACCCCAAGAGCAAGAAGCAGTTCTTTGTAAGTCATTCTCTCTCGTCCTTGCTCCCCTGGGGTCTTCGTCCAGGCACTTGTTCACTTGTCTCCGTGCCCCACAGGAGGAAGTTGGGATAGAGACAGATGAAGATTACAACGTCAAGCTCCCAGACCCCTGAGAGGCCCTCTGGCAGGCCTGGGGGATGGGAACAGAGATGTCCTGGACCGGCAGCCTTGTTTAGGTCAGCTTTTTTTGTTGCTCCTGCTGCTTTCTACCTTTAAGCAGAGCAGTTGGGAGAGGGGCATTAACCAGAGTATTGGGTGGAGGGAGTGAGTGCCGGCGGCCCAGAGCAGATGGTCACATTTATTGCATCATCCACATTTCAGTTGCTTGAGTTTAACACTTAGACTTGGACCAACGCTAAAGGAAAGCATTTAGCCATATTTATTGTAATATAATTTGATATAAAAATACTTAATTTCCTCTGGATAATCAAACCTCCCAGATAGCAAACCTGAGGAAGGCAGAAGGGAGCTTGGGGGACAAGGGTAGAGTGAGGCTACTAAACACAGCATTCAAGGAGCCCCAGGCCGCACCCAGGACTCTCCTGGGCTTGATACCCCAGGAGGCCTTTAGAGTATCTTCTCTACCCCTTCACCCCACCCCCAAGTCCTGGGAGAAATGCAGGCAGCACAGAGATGTGGAGACCCAGGTACACTTGACAGAAAGGCTGGTGGTGGTTTTGAGGCCCAGTTAATTTTCCAAAATTGTAACTAGCAAAACTGCATTGTTGGTGTTTAAAAAATAAAATTTTAATGTGTAGTGCTGTGTCACACTTGACGTTGCTGTGCACTGCTACTGCCTGTGGGGACAGAGAGCGCAGAAGTAGGTGGGGAGGTTGCTTCCCTCTACCACCCAGAGCAAGGGAGGATGGAGAGGTGACAGAGTAGGAGGCGAGGGCAGAAACCTGGCAGCCACGCCCTGAGCTGGCCAGAAAGTCCTGGCCTCACGTTGGGCTGACCAGGCAGCCTTAACCCAGGCACGAGGCAGCCTTTCACCCTTCACGGCTGTGGGAGTATTTCTCTTCTTCCCTCCCATCCAACTACTGCCAAAATGGCCAAACTTGGGCCAAATGTTGCCCAAGAGACCAAAACAGAGGCAAACAGTAGTTTCCAAATATGTGTAGATCACGAGCAGAAATCTGAGGCTTAGAAAGAGGTGAGAGGGCAGGAGCTCTTTGGGGTGCCCAGAGCAGACCCCCCATCCTCAGGACTTTTATGGGAAGGGGGAAGACTGGGTAGGTTTGAGTTGTATGGTCAATATAATAAATTAATCAGAAGCTTTCACAAACAAACACCCCAGCCCCACTGAGGATGAGGGGCACGGCTAGGGAACCAAACACCAAGAAATCAGCTGACTGGTATGCGGTGTCACAGTCCCATCTTATGAGCCCAGCGGCTCTACAGCCAATTAGGAGACTCAAGAGCCTCTTGTTGGATGTTCCGAAGGTTCCAAGAGCCAGTCAGTAAAGCTGGTTCTTCAGTTGGTGCAGGACACCAATCACAATCTCCCGTAGGGTCTGGTGGGGAAGAGAGAGACAATGCTCAGGCCAGGGCACAGAGCCGTCTCAGTGACACCTGCCTAGACCAGGTGTGCTCTTTAGAGTACAGAAAAAAAAAAAAAAAAAAAAAAAGCCCCTGTGAAGCACTGATTTCTACAGTTTACCTTGCAATGCCCCCAAAACAGGATGGAGAGATGGACAGCTATGTGATAAAGTAAATACAGAAAATGTTAATGGTAGAATTTAGGTGGTGGGTATCTAAGTGTTTATTGTGAAATCCTCAGTGTTGCAGTATGTTTAAAGTGTCTCACAATAAAAATGTAGGGAAACAAAAAAGAAAGTAAGAATCTCAGATACAAGTTCAAGCCTCAAAAAAAGCAATCAGGCCTAAAAAGCGCAAGACTTTTTCGTGCAATAGCATTAACATACCACACCGTTATGAATGATAACAATAAAAAGCCCCCAGGAAAACTGCTTCAGGGGCCTGGGGCTGGAGGCCAGGAATCTTTCCAAAAACCCCAAGTAATTCTGCTGCAAGTGATGGGGGCTTACTGGGCAGCCAAGGAGTGCCTGAGGCGGCCACAATGAGGCCTAAGCCAAGGCTGAGAGCCAGCCCTCACAGGAGTGAGTGCCCTAGTCGCTCCTGCCAAATGAAACCCTAACAGGGAAATCTGGGCTAGAAAGCAAAGGGGGAAACAAGAGTATTGAAAGTTGTAGAAACAACCTCAAGAAACCTAAAAGTTGGTACCCTGCCTCTATGAACAAATAATGGCTTGGGCCACTTTGCCTGAGGGTAAGGAGAAGGCCCCAGAGCCCGTGACCACTGCTACCCCATACCTGAGGCTTACAGTGCTCCTCAATCCAGCTGAAGACACAGGCTGACAGCTCCTGGAAACTGGCCACGGAGATGGAGGCATTGAAGGACTGGAACAGGGAGTCCATGATGCCTTGAAACACGTTGAACTTGACCTGGTCAGAGACCTGGTCCTCCCCCTCATGGGGGTTGTCCTGGTGTGCCTTTACAATCTGCTCGTAGTTCCTGAAAGCGCAGGCCAGGGCTAAGGTGCTGCAGCAGCTCTACCAGCCGGGGAAGAATAATAGGGTGACCTGTGTAACCCCCCGCCCCCAGGAAGGGGATTCCCAGACAGCTTTGGGGACATATTCAACGTCAGCTAGATATTGCTTCTAGGTGAGAAATGCCATGTATCTGCTAGGTGTTAGGGACTGCTGGAGTAGAGTCCTGCCTCTAAGTGGCCACCTGAGGGAGTGAGAGTATTATCTATACTGTATTATCTGATGCGGCCTTTGAACAAGGGGAGGGTGTGAGCTGAAGTCGGCCTCAGAGTCCCCTCAGAAGCCCTGGTTCCCCCAGTTCAGCATCTCCCTTACACTTTCATGATCTTTAAGGCCATGACGTCCTTGCGTAGTGTGGAAACCTCCTCTTCCTGCTTTTTCTTCTCCTTGTGCAAAAACTGGATGTAGTCAATGGCTGGGGTCGGGGCAGGAAGAGGGGGTGGGCACAGAAGAAGTCTCAACCAGAAGGACAAGGCTGATTTTGTTTACCCTTCCTCCATACCCCAACTCTCCCGTTAGAACCACCCCACCAAGGCCAGGCTGAAAGTGGGTATGAGGCTCTGGCCTCTTCACAGCCCCCTGGCTCCAACCCCTCCAGTGCTCTCCCTGGCCATACTCTTCTGTAGAACGATGGCTTTGCTGAGCTTTTGGGAGCCAATGGAGAAGTCCTGCTGCTGGCAGGTGGGGACGATAGTCTGAAGGTCGTCATAGCCTCTCTGTGGAGACAGCAGGGGAAACAAGGGTTCCTTAACTCTGAGGAGCTAAGGCAAACTGGCAGAAGGCTTTTCTTCCATGAACCAAGTTCCATGCTCACAAACTCAAAGGGATGGGGAGCTGGAAGGAGGGAGGTGTTCATATCCAGGGACTAGACTAGCTGCCCCCAAGGCTGCTTGGGACTGTCTGATGTGGTCAGGGCAGAGTGAACCTGAAAAATGCAGGGCCCTCCTGTGCTGGCTGAGGCACAGGCCTCCCAGTCACCTTGATGGCGTCCCTCCTCTTCTGCTCAGCCTGAGTGTGTGCTCGCCGACGCCGGTCCTTGTAGGATTCCTTGTAGGACTCCTGGTGGTAATCACTGTCCTCGTCATCTACGCTCAGAGTTGGGGGCAGGAAGAGGTCATCCTGGGGCCCAGCGGGGCCCAGCTAGCCCAACTTTCCCCAGCTGGGAAGAAGAACCTGGTGGCTAGAGATGGCAGATGGACACAGACCTAATGTCCTAGATGAGGTGAAAGATGGTGAGACCCTGTGTCTAGCACTAGGGCTCCAGCACCCCTTTGTGGATGGCTGGACCTTCCTGTCTAGGAAAGATACTAAAATGATGGCATATCTGAGTCCTCCCAGGTGGGGGGATGTTGCTGCCTACCTGTGTTGGGGACGGAAGAGGCACTGGTGGAACCGATGCTATTAGCTCTGGACACTACACTCCCCTTGCGGGTGCTTTCTACAAAAAGCCCTGGAAAAGAGAGGCCCCAATCACTAAGGAGTAGAGTGGGGGGACACTGCTAGGCCCTCAGACACCTGTGGGCACAACAGATTCCTGGTCCTTAAATGCTGACCTCTCCCCTTCAACTCAAAAGCCAGCCATACTGGGCCACCCACTTCCTATCATGCTATGCCACAATGCTCCTGTCCCTAGTAACTACACTGCTCCACAGGCCTGCAGTGATACCCCCTGGCTCACAAAGTGGCATCTGGGTGTGATGATGGTGAGAGAGTGACCAGCTGTCACTATTTCCATCACTTCCCTAATCCAGAGCAGAGGGAAGTAGGTGTCACCTTCGGATGCTTCCTGCCCCTGTCCTCCAGCTCCTGCCTGGCTGTCTCTGGCCAGGAACTCGGCTCAGGGACAGTGGACTGTGCTCAGGTGTGGCTGGGAAGGCCACGCGAATCTACAGGGCTGAAGTAGGAGTATCCCTCCAGAGCTGAAGACGGTGGGGGAGGCACTCACCGGGGTCCAGGCTGTTGTCGCTGTAGGCATACTCCACCTGTGGCACCGAGCAAGGGAGAAGCCCGTCAGACCTCCGCCCCTGGAGGAAGGCGCCTCCGATCACTTTGCACGCGCGCGTTTACACACACACACACACCCGTGGGGTGCGCAGGCAGTTAAAGGACTCCCCAGAGGGCCAAGACTGGAGAAGCCGTGGAGCGCCGCCGATCAGCGTGATCCCGTCCGCCCCCACTCCTCCACCTCCCCAGCCCCCAGCCCCCGTCCCCTCGCACTCGCGCACATACGCCTCGGTTGTCTTCCCACCTTGGCACATGCGGGGTGAGAGCTGTCTTCTCTGCAGCCCCCAGGCCCGGAGAGCGGGGCGTACTCTAGGGACTGGAGGGAATCCCCTCGTCTTCCGGACCCCCTATGTGCACGAGCCCGACCCGCCCTCCCCTCGCCGGCGTGCGCGCCCACGGGGCTTGCCTTGACCCAGGGGTCCTCCGGAGAGGCGCCCGGCTCCGTCATCTCGGACCCACCGGACCGGAAACCAGCCCGCGGGGCGGGCCCTCCGCCGCGAGGAAGAGGCGAGGCACGCCCACGTGACCCAGACCCACCAACCCGAGACCGAGAGGCGGGGGGGGGGCGGCCCGCGAGGGTGCCGCGCATGCGTAGCCCTGAGACGCCGAACAGTGGAGGCCAGGCGGTGGATGTCCTCGCTGTTCGTGCCTCCCCTTCCTCGGGGTAGGCATCCCTGCCTCCGCGACAACGAAGCACATTCTGTGACATGAGGTCCCTCAAAAGGCTTGTCCGAGTAGTGTCGCATAGTTGCGCTCACGCGAACTGCCGGGCCCACCGGGGGACGCGCTTTCCCTGGCCCGTCGGGTGGCCAGGCCCGCCACATGACGGAGTCCCCGCCACCTCGTCTGCCCGGCAGGCAGCAGGCTCTGTGAGGGCAGAGGCTCCGCCTGGCTTGTTGAGGGATGGTCCTCCAACACCCAGC